TTTTTTTTTTTTTTTTTTTTTTTTTTTTTTTTTTTTTTTTTTCTGTAAAGAGCCAAGTACTACGTATTTTAAATTTGAGGGCCAAAGGCAACATTGGATATTTTTATGAAGACTTATTGAACTTCTTAATATATATTGATTTAAAAATATAAAAACCGATTTTACCCATGTTCCATATAAAACCCCAGGAACCGTGTTTGGCTTTCAAGTCATAATTGACGATCTCTGCTCTAAAGCCAGGTTATCTGACTCCAAAATCTAGACCTAGTATCAATTGGATGGGTCACCATTGTTAGCCTCTTAAGCCCTTCTACGTCTCTGTTTCTTCATAAGTCAAATGAGTATACTCATAGCACTTACCTTGCTGAAGCATTAAAAGTGTTAATGTAGGTAGACTGTTTAGACAAGTTCCTAGTACCTCATAAAGGTTTTATCAGTGTTTATTTAATATTATTCCATGACTATTTGATACAAGAACTAATTCAAAGACACACTAGTGCTTTGTGATCTCTGCTTAAATATAGAGTGTGAGAACTAAGGTAATACAACACTGGATGACTAAACTTTATGTTCAGAAAAGCATACAATGACATAATTTGGTAAAAAATGTTTTCCCTTATCTTTTATGTTTCTATGCACAGGAGGAAAAGCATGCTGGGGTAAGTCTAGAACTAAATGGGAAAAGTTCATGAGAAAAAGCTCTCTTCAGTGCTTGCTTCGGCAGTACATATACTAAAATTGGAACGATACAGAGAAGATGAGTATGGCCCTTGTGAAGGGATGACATGCAAATTCGTCAAGCATTCCATATTTTAGTGAAATAAATAGGACACACATGTGTAAATACTGAAAAGTGTCTCTAGTGTGAGAAACTCATAGTGCAAGTAAGGACTAAAAAGGTATAATAGATAATGTGAAATAGGAAGAAAAGGTGCAAAGGTGAAGGATAGTGGAAGGGTTTGGGGAGAGAAAAGAAGGGAATGGAGTTAATATGAGAAAAGGATAAATGGAAACAAAGTCTTTGTAACTAGGGAGGGGTGGAAGGGTTGAAGGGAGGGCAGGGGAATGGGGAAAAAACAAGAACCAAGATGGATTACATAAAGGTGCTAATTTCCAATGATGAATGTCATTACATTGTATACCTTAAATGTACCAATGAAATTAATTAATCGAAAAACAAAAACAAAAACAACCACTCTCTCTTCAGTTGCTTGTCCTCAGGACCCATACTCTATTCTTTGGGAACTCAGGGCCAGCGGACACTTTGCCACTGGTATACACCCTTGACTCCAATGCAACTTTTGAGAAACATCGACAAAACTGCCTTTGGCAAAAAGTCCTTCTGTGAATGAGGCCAAAGCCACTGTTGGAGGGGTTTTGTGGCTGTCCTTCCCCCCTACAGGAGGCAGAAGGCTCTTCCTTTTTGCCTTCTTTTTCTGTCACATTATCAAACATCCAACTGTGACTGTAGTAATGGACAACAGCACAATTGTTGGATATACATATTTTTTTCTGGATATAGGATCTTTTTACAGAAGAAAGTTAGAGAAAATGTAGGGAAATATAAGGAACAAATTACAAACTAGCTCTGGTCCCACTGTAGAGAAATACCACCGTGAGTGCTTTCAAGTTCATCTTTTAGATGATCATGGTGTCTTCTCTGCACTTAGGCACCATATGGTCCAGACTTAGCCAATGTTAATCTCAAAAGTCTATACTCCATCAATCATAGATAACTGTTGGGGAGAATACAGGATTTTCCTAGGATTTTCCAGTATTGTTAAGTAGGATTCAGATCATATCCATGGTGAAATTTTATTCTCCTACTTTGTTATACCCCCAGACTTCATAGGAGGTTCCAATTTCTCCACACACCCCAAATCATTCTCTGCCTCTCATAACCATTTATTCCCCTATTCTGAGCTTCTTTTCTATGTATAGTCTAATACATTTGTGTGGCCTCTCTTTTGATTTGCTCTCTTTGCTTATAATTAGAACCTCCATAACAGACAAGGGCCTGAAAGCATACCCAGCAAGAAAGAATTTTATCTAAAATTTTTAATATCTCTTCCTGTCTCCTGGTCTCCTGGAAATGTCAGAATCCACAGCAGGCAAGATTGAGAATTCCATGGGAAGAAAGTGTAGAGGTAGGGAGGACAGGCCTAGTGAAAAGCGGGTGGGGAGAGAGCAAGTGAGGACAAAGTTCACCTTAGAAGATGCAAAAAGTAAAATCAGGATGTGGTTCATGTCTTCTACTTTGAGTAAATGTCATCTACCAAGACGACAAAGACATTTTCCTTAGGACTTTGAAAATAGTTTCCTAGGGCATATAGTATTCTGTTGTGTAAGTACACCGCAGTGTACTTCAAACATTTAGATGAAACACATTTTCTGTTGATATTACCACTGTGTGTTATCTTTGGCTGTGTTTTGTATATTTTCATAGGCATGCATCTTGAAAATGGCTGCTGGAAGATTGTGCTTTGTTGACCTAATTTGATAGTCTTTGCCTTGTGCTAGATAGGCCCCTGACATTTTGGTGTTGAACTGATGTATGTCCTCATTTATGGGTTGCATTCAAGAATAAAAGAAACACAAATTTCTCAGGATTTTCCCTTGGAGGTGCTCTTAAAAGAGAGATGATCTTTTATGTCTGCTTTCTGTAGAAACACAGGGATGTAGCTCACTGTGTCGCTTCTAGCTACACACTCGGTGAGGGTAGTTAGGAAGGAAACAGACCTTTGCTCAGGTGCACAGTGAGTTTTTACAATATGGCAATTTACTCTAAGCCTGGAAATGTCTGCTTAACTTTTAAAACCACATGAATTTAAGGGGCTCTTAATTTGTTTTTGAGTCACTGAGACTTACCAAATATAAATATGGCATTGCAATAGTTCTATAAGCTTTGCAATCTTTTCAGTACTGTGCCTTTGGAAGGGGAGAGTTGTTGAAACCTGTTGGTTGTTTATAGGGGAGGAAATGACATAGGGGGAACCAAAAGGAAGAGAACTGTATTTTTTGGTCACTTAGAAATTCAGCTGAAGTTGCAGGAAAATTAAGCGGGAAAAATTAGGAAAGTATGAGGTGATCTCTGAAATAACCTGGGCTCCTTCAGACTGAAAATGTACCCCATCAAGCAGGTACAGGAAGCAGGAGGACAAATGCCGATCTGTTGTCCCAGAGCTTTAAAAGTCATGTTTCAGGCCTTTTCATCCCCTCCCTCTCTTTCACACCCCCTTTCCATGTGTTATTCACTTATTCATTTCTTAAGCACCCACTTATTGAGAGAGGGCTCTGTGCCTGACTCTGTTTTAGGAGCTGAGATTTAGCTATGAACACATCAGAAAACGTTTTATGTCATAGAGCTTTGGTTTTAGGATGGTAGTGACAGGTAAATCAGCAAGTAAACAAAATCCCCCCCCCAATTGAGAGTGAGTAATAAAACAGAGAAACGGTCTGATTATACAGCTGACCAGGGAAGACGTTCCGAGAGGGGATATGTAAGCTGAGAGGCTTTATGGGAAGCCAACCATCAGGAGGTTTGGGTGGAAGGAGAATGTCAGGCTGAGAGAACAAGAAGAGAAAAGATTCTGTGGTGGTACCTTGGTAGTCTGTTGTGTAATGTATTACACCGGAACTTCATGGCTTAGAGCAATAAACCTTTATTATTTCACTGTCTGTGGGTCAGGACTGAGGGCACAGCTTTGCCGGATCCCCTGGGTCAGGGTCTCTTACGAGCAGCAATTAAGGTCCTAGTTATCCAGGCATTTAGTCTGTCTATGGTTGGATCAGAGGCGGAATGGCCTTCACACTCACCAAACTAGTTGGTGGCACAGTGTGTTTTCTCCAGGGATGTTAGATTGGATGGCCTTGGCTCCTCATTGGCTACTGGTGCAAGACACCCTCCATTTCTGCCAAGGGGCAGCTTATAACACGGAAGCTTACATTACTTCATCAGACAGAACTAGGCGAGAGGGAATGAACTAGGATGGAGGCTGCTTTTCTTGGCCTAATCTTGGGTGTGATGTCCGTGCCCTTTGCCTTGTAGGGCTGCAGCAGTCATCAGGTCCAGTCTACACACGAGAGAGGAGATTGTGCACAGAGTGCGAATAAGGGTGAGTGGGAATCTCTGGGTGCCATCCCAAGGGCTGCCAAGGAGGGAAGGCCTGGCATGGAAAGGCAGAGGCCAGAGAGACTGGAGGAGCCAGGGAGGAGACCAGAAATTCAAGGGCTCTTCCAAAGGGTGGTGAAAGCCAGGCCACATGGACTGGACAGGGCAACGTGAGGCACAGCAGAAGCCACTGGTGAGGAAGGCACTGTATCTCATTCAAATACTAAACCAATCTCTCAGGCTGCATGGGTGTATGGGCTGGAGTGGTGGCTGGAATAGCTCTGGAGAAGCCAGTTAGAGGCAACCGTGCTTAGATAGAGGTGATTTCTATCATGATTGTGTCTGCCAAACAACTCAAAGCATGAGAGATGGGACAGTCCTGACAAACCAGTCTAGTTTTCTTATCCTCACAGATGAGGTCTGTGCAGCCCTATTAACTTTCTAGTTCTCAGCTTCAGCCTCAGCCTCTTCTTTGGTAACATGGGAAGCTGGGCTGGATTTTCTCTGAGCACTGAAGAATGCTCTCTGCACAAAGCCAAAAGCTGCCAGTTTGTGCCATTGCCTGTGTCCTGTGTGGAGCAGTGGGAAGAAAGAAAGCTGGGCATGGAGAGAGGAAGGCATGGGCAAAGGCGGGGTGGGGGCAGAGAACACCCTATGGACCCAGGGGGCTTAGAGAAAGCCAGTGGGCTTTTTGGTCCACCCCTGGCCTCAAAATTCTGCAGTTTGTTTGCGGGCCTGACGATCTCCTGGCCACACCCTCTCTGAGAAGGCTCAGATGGATGGCAAGGATCAGCAGAAATGTTTAACTGAGCGGGGCAGATCCAATAAAGACATCTGATTGTCTTCCTTCACTGCAGCCCACGAAGGCAGGGAGTTTTGTTTTGTCCGTTATTGTACTTCTAGTGCTCAGACCACTGTGCAATGAAGGGATAAGCTTAGCCTAGGGAGTAGGTACTCCTCGCCTTTTGGGGTCCAGTGTGAAAACTAAGATGTAGAAAAGATATACATTTTACCTGGGATCACAGGGTTGGAAAGTGGCAGCATCACAACTTGACTACAAGTCTGTGGGACTCCAGAGAAGCTGCTGAAGTGCATGTCCCTGGCTGCCCAAGTGTGTCTGAAATGTGCCCCTCAATTTCTTGATTCATAAGATGAAATGAAATGCTACCTCCCCAAGTTGGCTAGGAGAATCAAGTGGGAGGATAACTGTGAGAATACACTGTAAGGTATGAACTGATTTCCTGGACTGGGAGCTGCTAGTCTTACTATTATGAAAAGCATATAGACACCTTGGACTTGGTATCCCAATCAAAAAACTGTTTTGGGTTGCAGAAAGAGAATAAGGCAGGCCTGCGTGGAAACTTTTTTAAAAAAATCCAGCTTTCACCAGCTTCTAGCTTGTGGCTAGCTGGGCTTACTGAGCTCCAGTTCTCTCTTCTCTAAACCAAAGCTGCTTACCCCAAACGCAGGGCACAAGTGAGGCTCACCTGGGAGCTCAGGAGAGGATCTTTATCTGTGTTTTTTGTGTTTTGCTTCAAATTTTTATTTTAATTAGTATGCATTTGTTGTTCTTATCACACTCCCTAATATTTTTGACATCCTCTTTCCTTCCCTTCTCACCTTCTTTTTGGTCCTCCTCCCACTTGCAAAAGATCTACTTCCCTGTTTCCTATTATTGGTTCTTTATTTTGTGCAGCAGGCTTT